TTCTTTATACTTGTTACGCGCTTTTCTATTTTAGTAAAAAACTTTCATCACATTATTGTTAAATATTTTGCATTATGTGACATGTACATATGTAACATATGTATTAATAGCATACATAGGTAGGTTAGGTTACATTTAGCACCTGGTATCTAATCTCAAGTCATAGCTAATTATTCTTTTTATAATAAGTTAATAATAATAATAAATTCTTTCTTGTAACAAAAGGTACATACAATACAAGTGCAAGCCCTGATTCCCAAACTAGCGTGAGCTGTATATCGGGCATCCGTTGCTTCCCAAAAAATCAATGATCAAATAAATTGTTACTATGAGGTATTAATAATTAATTGTAATATAAATTGTTACATATGGAACATACCTACATTGAAAGAAACATTGAAACGTACTTACGTTATAATATATTTTATTAATTTTGCATGAGTGTGTAGGTGTGATGTTTACGTGTGTGTATTACTATTTATTATAGTTAATATATTGATTGATATTGATATGAAATTGAATAATTGAAAATAATTAAATTAAGCGGCACAAATAGACAAACAACATTTTTAATAAATCCTTTTAAAAAAAGTTGAACCGACTTCAAACAATACTGACAAAAAACGCTAAAAATTCAAAAATAGTTATAAATCTAAGTAAAAAACCTATAATAATTACCCTCAATATAACAGGTAACATTACAATAGCAATAGTACCTTCTAGTCTATTTGAAGTCGGTGCCAAGTCAAATGATACCCTTGGTAGAATGTAGCGCGGCAGCTGCCACAGTCTTCATGCTGCGCAAAACATGCTGAACGAGCTAAAGTGGGTTACGCCCATCTCCAATGATGTTCTTATTTTAAATGCTTTATTAGGTAGTTGATAAGTTTGCGCACGTAATTGATCTGGTTGTTCTTTACTAATTAACACAACATCAAATAGACTAGAAGGGCTATTGCTATTATAATGTTACCTGTTATATTGAGGGTACTTATTATATTTTTTAGTTATATTTGTAATTATATTTATAATTAATTTATAAGACTAGAACGGCTATTGCTATTATAATGTGACCTGTTATATTGAGGGTACTTATTATATTTTTTAGTTATATTTGTAATTATTTTTATAATTTTTAGTGCTCTTTGTCAGTATTGTTTGAATTCGGTTCAGCTTTTTTTTAAAGATTTATTTTACAATTTTTTGTGTAAGATATGTTTGTAATGAGTAGGTAAGTACGATATTTAAAACACTACGTACCGTAATGTGCAGTACCAAAGTGTAGTATGTTAGATTATATTAAATATACTTTAATAAGATGTTACATATAATTCCACATTACTTAATTTTCCAAAACTAGGAGTGGTATTTTTTCTTCACAGTTTGAATGGAATTAAAAGGGAAATATAGATTATAAAAATATTATTATTTTTTGGTAGAGCCATATGATTTTTTTTGTAATCGGTTTACAAATGAAAGAGTTTTGAAGTAACATGAAAACATTTTTTTTGTCTTAAGATTTTGTAATCTTCATATATTACTCTTTTGTGCACATATCTCTGTAACCCAACACAAACACCTAACAAATATCTTGAAAAGAATAAGGTCAATACATAATTAGATTTCTGAAAGAGTTATCCTGTAACTCCTAAAGGTCAAGGACCCTTCCATCATTAGCTCAGCATCTTACATAACGATTACTAAACGCAAATACCTATTTAGCTAGACAAGCTAAAATACGTCGGGCCTGTAAAATTTGAGGTTTTCCCTCGATTTCTTTAGGATCCCATTACCAAATCCTGATTTGGTGGTAATGGACCACCTCGGGAGTATAGTCTTTCGATTACAAAAACAATTTTAAACCAGATTTTTTTAAATCGGTTTACAAATAAAAGAGTTTTAAGGTAACAAACATGAAAATATTTGCGTAACAAACTTTTTTTATCTAAATGTTTTGTAATCTCATTTATTACACAAACACCTAACGAATATCTTGAAAGAATAAAACAAGGTCATATCGAATACTAAACGCAAATACCTATAAAGCTAGAGAATAAGCTAAAACACGTTTTCGGGGCTATCAAATTTGAGGGTCTCCCTCGATTTGTCTAGGATCCCATTCTCTAGGATTTTGAACTTCACAACGACGGAGTCCACAATTGACGGAGATATCGCTTAACAAACATACAAAAAAAATACTGACGAATTCATAACCTCCTCTCTTGTGTTTTTTAAGTTGGTTAAAAATAATTCGTAGGTATAGGTTGGTTAAACATTCAAATACATTTTGTAAGGAGCTGTTTAAATATATATATACTTACTGCAGATTCGTTAACCGTAAATTATTAAAATCAAAACCTACCCTTTTTGAGGATAAAGCTAAAATAACTAAAAAGAATTGGGACAATTATATGTTATTACCTATAGTTGCATATGTGTTGTCGGTATTAAATTAATCACAATATTTTTTGTCATAAACGTGCATAGCAACAAATTGAGATAAATATTGATAATATTGTACAAAGAAATGTCGTAAACATTAAAATTAGTCTAGTTAATGAATCTGTATTATCGTCAGTTAAAAATATGCCTACTGTCGGTAAATGGGTATACTTACCTACCCACATACAAAAAAGTCATTGATTCGTTACGCATGCCACAGTTCTAATTTCAGAGCAGTTATTTTGAGTATGATTGGAGCATTAAAAGTTGGTCCAATTTACTTGTATGGTTAGCTTAGGATCATTATTTTTGCTCCAATTATTCTTGTATACTTTTTGGAAATTCGGTACATTTGTAAAAAAGCGAATAAGATTCTTATTTTCGTGTTCGAGTAGGTATTAAAAGATAATAATTATGAAGTTGTATCAAATAAACATCTAAAAGAAATGAGTGACCTCTACAAGTACATTTCGTTTACATGATATATTTATGGTAGGAGTAGGTGGTAGGAGGCCAACGAGCAGATGGTTCACCTGATAGTAAGGGACTACAGCCACCCATCTGCAATTCTGAGAGTCGCAAGTGCCCCCAAGGAATAATCAGGGGTGGGTTTGGCTGTAACCTCAACGTTGACACACGTGTCAGCGTGTGAATGAGGTTAAAAACAAACCCGAATGCAACGAAGGAATGGAATGACACCCCATAGATCGTTGTATGATCTTACGAAAGCTCATGCATGGGTAAGACAAACTTTTATCCCAAAGTAATTGAGTTAATAAATAACTAGTAAATGATGCTGGTTTACTGTGATATATGAGCTACTTTGAATAGAATTAGAATAGAAAAATTAAGTTAAATTTATCCTTTATCTTTTCGTGCGGAAATCCCCTCGGATACCACCCAACAGTAGGGTAGCTATGTCGGACTCGAACCGACCAAAAACCGCAAGCCGTCTCGGGTACTAGTAGCCGGGGAACCAGGTGTACCCTAGAAAGGAAATCCCGGGAACCCCGACGTACCTCGGCTATCTACGGATTCTAGATGACCCCCTCCTGTGTGGGAACCCCGGTGTTGACTCAGGACTCAGGATCTTCTGCTCCCCCGATGATCTGGGAACAGAAATCCCCGAGTAACGGCACCGTGACCCACGTTCGCCTGTAGGATTCGGATATGTGGATCCATTATTGGATTTCCATCTCCGCATCACGCTGCGAACTTTGTCACTCTCCAGCAACACCCTCTGTCTCCGTCGACGACTTAGGAGCAGAAGGCCGGCTCCCCGGATTCAGTCCTGACCCGGCGCAGGCTTTACTGCCAACCCGGTGGTCGGCAGGCTTGCCTCCTGCTGCGCACCTGAGGCAACACAGCGGAGCATTGCAAGTACCCGCCTTGTGCCCGGTTTGCCCACAGCGGAAGCAAAGGTCGCCTACGGTGACTTTTGCCGTGCACTGAATCCCCACATGTTCCACCGCTATCGGTAGAACATGTGGGGATTCAGTGCACGGCAAAAAGAAGCAACTTCCGGCCGGGCCTGTAGTAGTCGTGCTTGCGCCTTCACGAAACCACCAACCAGGAGGCTTCGTCCCTTGGCGACCTTTTGGGTCGCTGCGATAGGGCAACTGACAACCGCTGCCCTCTGTCCACTGGGCCCGAAGCGTATTGCTCCGGCCTGCACGTAGTCCAGGGAATAGCCTCTGGCCTTTACCACGGCAAGCCTAAGCTCGTCCGCCGCGACTGAGTCATCGTACTTCTGCGCATTTAGTGGGCCTGGACACTCGAACGTCAATGGCATCGAGTGACTCCCTCAGCTTAGCCGCTAGGGCGTCGACATTGGGGCCACTGGTGGCGCCGGGGACCTCGAGAAGCCGGGCTCCCGTCCGTGTGCTTTAACACCGGAGGCCCTGTATCCGGCGTACCCCACGCCCCTCTCCGCTGCAGGGTGACGACAACGGCCGCAGAGCGAGGCGCCCGGAGCCTTCTTGGCGCTCCTATCGCAACGGCGCCTCTTTTGGCCGCTTTTTAGGCGGCCTTCCGCTTCTTTTTTTGTTCCCCGGCTATCTTCCAGCCCTCTTCCAACAGTCGCTGTGCTGGGTCAGCCGGAGTTATAACTGAAGCTGTGGTCAGGGTCACGTTCCCCTTTTCCTGGGTCCTGTTAAGCCCGACTTAGCAGCGGTCAAATATGTCCCCCGTGGCGGAGCCAGAGGCGAATGACGATGAGCGCTCTCTATTGCAGAGATGTGCCTCATTAGTCGCATTTATCTATAGTATGTATGTATTTAGAAATATTTAAATATGTTTATCAGCAGTCTGGTTACCATAGCACTGGCTCTGCCTAGTTTGGAATCAGACGGCCTTGTGTGAGATGTGTAAAGTTATTATTATACTTAGAAGTAAAAGTTGGATTTAAATCAAGTTAATCAACAGCCTTTAGTAGACCACTGCTGGCATTGACCTCTGCTTAGAAAGGAGGTAAAGTTGGATATGGTAACAAATGAAACACAAAATATATTTATGTTTAAAACGGTTTATTTTTCATAAACATAAAGTAACAAGTGCGATTAAAACAGACTTCCGGAACAGCTACTCAGTGTATCTGAGAACAAAAAACGAAGCCAAGTTATTTTTATTATTTCAAAGATTAAATACAAAAAGAAATAAGTTAATATAGTTCCATATTTATTTTCATTTTTGTTTTCAGTTAAAACATAGTCACGGTAACATTGATCTTACTCTATTTTACTAATTTTAGGTACTCAGTTTTATGAGTTACCTAACGTTGCGCCAACGATCCATAGGAGTCGCCCGAGTAGTAGCCATATACTGCATTTTAGACAGATACTAGTAATCGTGTATATGACACCAAGTTTGAAGCATAAGAAACTATAGGCAATTAGACGGACTTGGGCACATAAGAAGAAGCTTACTTCTAAAGGTTTTGGTCGCTATTTCTAGGAAAAAAAAACTCGTCAAAATATCTGAAAAGATTTACTTACAGGAATAAATATCATTTATCATTTATTAACCGCCTTACGAGAAGTAAAACTTTTGTACCATAACACAAATTCCATAAGTCAGACAGATGGAATTCCTTAAGTGAAAATATTATAAAACATTACATTTGTTTTCTGTTGTAACTCTGCGGGTATGAATAGAAAGGTTATGCATTTTAATGACCATTATTCCAAGTGAATACCAACAACTTGTAAGGAATAATTAATACGTGTTATCAATTGACAAGAATTTATAACAAAACCTAGTTGAAACCATATTCATTCCTCATTCTTCAATAGGCGTCTTTTTATAATACACTTTTCATTGAAATTTCAATAATAAGTTGTCGACCGATCGGTCTTTATCTACAAATGTATGTTAAGATAGCATGTTATAATTCTAGTGAAACATCCTATCCGTACCAAGACATGATATAAGACGACTTTAAAACTACCTTGTAAGTTAGATTGTAACAGACGGGTATTTATATAACAGACCAGACCACAACAGCTTTAAAATTGATTATACCTAAAGGATTTTATGACATAAACGAACATAAATCAGATTTACATTCACAAAATCTCTCACTTTAGCGCACGTGGAGCTAACGAATTTAACACCCTCGACACTAAGTCTTGGGTTTTAACAATGCCTCAACAGTCGAAATCCATCCAGCCATTTGGAAGATACGAGGTAATGAAGAAATTTACAAACCAACATACAAGATACGCGCAATAAACACAACCCTTCCTTGGCAGTCGTGTAAAAAGTGTCACATATTATAATTTTTTCAATTTGTTTAAAAATAATAACAGTAGTAGTTTTTTGAAGTAATTAACATACTGAGTAAACACAGCATTGGTAATATTACTTACTGTTATGATGTTATCGAAATACCAGACATTAGATTCTATAAACTTTAGTTTAATAAGCCCGATTAGATTTTAAGTTTGTCTAGCAGCTTGCTGCACTTTATGGATAAGTTATAAAAAACAGGACAAGTCAGGCTCACACACCGAGGGTTCCATAGAAACTTGTATATAAATAGCTCGTCCATTTCGGGATACCATTCCCTGTTTTTTTTTTCGAAACACGTCAAAGTCTCTTTTCTAAGAAACTTCTTCTTTTTTGCAGTCTGTGCAAAATGGACAGCTCTATCTTGGTAGTAATTGCAGCCAGCGCGGCGGCGAAGTGATTCAATCCAAAGTAAAATCATTTCGCTGCTTAGTTCTGCAGCTATGTATTTATGGTGACTGGGCATGATTTTACCGCTAGCGCTAAAAACTGGCAGTAAGTAGTTACGAGTTCATTTTATTGACACTAAAGTTTTATTTTGAAGCTTCCAACGGCCAAAAGTTACATCATTTTTACCATATTTTATTATCTAGATGTGTATTAATACGCTATGACACATATACACGTTTGGCAATCAAACGTAGCTGTTGATACTGACCTATCAACTCATACACTGTTAAGTGGTTTCCGATAAGAATAGAACAAATGATTCCTCTTATTGTCATAATTAATTGTAATGGACAACGGCTTGCAACACAGACGTAGTGTATTTAAACAGTATTTTGTATGTAGTGTACTACCAAAATTAAAATTTATAATTGTGCACTAATAATAATGCTGTAATCTATTAAAGTATTTACGTATATGAGGAAAAATGCTCCATACTCTAAAAGATAACAGACGTGTTCTAATGCAGTATTTTTTATCATACCGAAGGATTCCATCAAGGTTAAGATCACAAAGCATCTTTCTGCCATCTTTATACCTCTAGTACAGACTCCTAGGTCCCAAAATTACAAATTCTCGAGATACGGTGTGCCTTCTGCCTAGTATCCAATAGTACATCATCTTATGTCTTCTCATCGCCGCACTTGTGAGCGACGCACGCTAGTTTTTAACTTTTATCCGAAATAAAATAGATATGTTAGACGAACTGAGTATAATACAAATATGTGGGAGTAATTTTACTGATGTCGACATTAAAAAGGGAAAAACCGAACTATTTAATGCAGTCTTTAAGGAACACCTATAACGATATTATAACGAAAAGGTGATGATAAAAACAGGAAGAATATCAAGGATGTCATCAAGGCGTTCAGGAATCGGATCCGTTAGTGCAGCCAATCTTTGTTGCGAAAAAATTGAATCGCTTGCCTCCGGTAACGTTTGATTATGTCGATGTGACCCGCTTACTAAAGGATATGAATGTGTTAAAAAGTAAATTACATAAATTAAGAAGTAGTGCAGTGTCAAAAAAGGATTTAGAAATGTATATAAACAATACTTAGAAAGATTCACAGGTAATTGACTTGAACAGCGTTAACAACACATGTGATTACAATAGTGAACCCAATAATAAGTGCGATTAGGACGAAAATGGCTCGGCGAGAAGTGTCACACAAAATAATATAGAAAGACTGTCAATTGTTAATATTATTGCTAGTCACAATGATTTGCAAATATGTGGGCCGAGTGAGTGTGAAGAGCAAACACATAGCCAGACACAGTGACGCGCGCTCCACAGACTTATCGTGATATCTTGCACAAAACAACAAGAACATGTAACCAGGAACACAGCAAATTCAAAAAAATATTATATCACTGAGGATATATGCACTATGGGAGAGGACTGTGTTGATGTTCAAGTTCTTAACCAAAATAAGGAAACTAATTTTCGTTATTTCAAAATTATTGTGTTGAAAAATAAATTAAATAAATTCTTAAAAACGAAACTGGCGTAACGGCGTTTTATTATATTATTTATAAATTATAAAATGTACAGGTAACAATGATGTCTTTTAATTGTAAGAACCTAAAGATATCTGTGCACCAGGTTAGGCAACTATGTGCTGGTGCGGATATTATAGTACTTCAAGAAACGTGGTGATCAGATTCCAAACATCGGATATTAACCAGGCGACTAAGACGAATCATCTTATCAGGCCCAGAAGATTTACGACTAAGACGTGGTAAATCTTCTGGGCATGATAATTTGAGTATAGAACATACATGATATATGCTGGGGATTTATTACCTTATAAGTTATGTTCGCTGTTTAATTTATGCATTCAGTATTCCTCCTTACCGCAAGCACTGATGCAAACAATTTTCGTACCTATTATTAAGAACAAAATAAAAGATCTCGGCTCTGCATCGAACTACAGGCCAATCTCATTTGGTATCATCATTGGTGAGATATTGGAGCGCCTTTTACGGCCCGTACTGATAAATAATATTAGGACAAGTGAAGCCCAATTTAATAACGTGAAATGGGGGTTGCCCCATTTAGTGCAGCTCGCTGCACTTCTCACGGCATGACATATAACGCATCCAAAACGGAAATGCTAGGGTTTGAGGCAGGTAAGGGTCCCGAGATGGTTCCAGAAGTCAAATTGAATGGTTTGTTAGTGCGGGTTTAAACGCAGTCTAAAAAAATATATTTGTTCCTAAAATAGTAGATCTGTCACCAAAATTGAATCATCAAACAATGTTAAGAAGTTTAGCCATTAGGTACTAACCTATTAGGGAGTTGTCATGGCAATACTTGATAGTGTGAGCGTAGTTGCCTGTGGCACCGCATCGCGGGCATCGGTACCGGCGTAGTACCGGACACTGAACCCGACCGCGCCCGTCTTTCAGCACATGTGACGTATACCAGCTGGATGATCGGCCATTGTTTTTACAAAACGCACATTCCTGTAAGGAGAAAAATACTTTCAATACAATTTAAAATAACAGAAGTGAGACAACTTCTTGCTATTGCATACAAAGAAACAATGTACCAACATTAATTTTAACCCATTACAGTCCGCTGTATTTATGTGCTAAAGGAATAAATAATTTAGTTACTATTGAATTGATTCAATAGTAACTAGCAGGCTTAAAAAGTGAGTGCTCGGTTGGGCTGGACGGAATATCTAGTGACATTTTAAAGACAAATACGCTTATTCTAGTATCACCGATAACGTACATATGTAATCTGTCTCTTACAACCGGAGTATTTCCAAAAATCTATAAGAAATCACGAGTTCATCCAATACATAAGAGTGGTGACAGAGGCTGTGTCAATAATTATAGACCTATCTCCATCCTCCCTACTCTCTCAAAAATACTAGAACGCATTATTAACAATAGACTAGTTAAATATTTGGAAAATAAAAATCTATTGTCACAAGCACAATATGGTTTCAGAGCAAAAAGATCCACAGCAGATGCAGTATTGGATCTTACTAGCTACATAGTCAACAACTTAGACACTAAAAAGAAAACTATAGGATTATTTTTGGATTTAGCCAAAGCGTTTGACACAGTTTCTGTCCCTATCCTGCTAAAAAAACTTGAGACCATCGGTGTCAGGGATCTACAACTGAAACTTATACAAGATTACTTGACTGATAGAACTCAATGTGTAAAAATCGGTGATACAATCAGCGAAGAGATACCCGTCAACTTTGGTGTTCCTCAGGGCAGCATTTTGGGTCCGACCTTGTTCCTAGTGTACATTAACGATCTCTGCCAGATTGAGCTTCCAAATACAAAGATCGTCACGTTTGCAGATGATACTGCTGTACTCTTTTGTGGCAATTCATGGAACGAAGTATTTTTAAATGCCCAGAGAGGAATGAATACCGTTACAAAATGGTTGAATAAAAATATGCTCACATTAAATGTCGCAAAGTCTACTTATATAACGTTCTCAACCAAATCCAATGACGCACCTGATCCCTCTCTTCGTATAATCTCACATTCGTGTCGTAATGTCAATGATACAGACTGCTCATGCCCTGAGCTTAAAAATACTGCATCAACCAAATATTTAGGCGTAATCATTGACAGAAATCTAAAATTTAATGAGCACATCAATCTTCTTGCTGCGAGAGTACGCAAATTAATAGTTTTGTTTAAAGCTTTAAGACAAGTTGCCCCAAAAGCTGTTATTAAATCTGTGTACTATGCCCTCTGTCAATCTCAGCTTTCGTACTGCATCACCTCCTGGGGTGGCGCATGTAAAACTAGCTTCCTTAAAATTGAGAGAGCACAAAGAGCCCTTCTGAAAGTAAGCTTGTTCCTACCTTTTTACCACGCAACGGACGACCTTTACAAAAAATCAGAAGCGTTGACAGTGCGACAACTTTATATATTGCATACGGTGGTTAAACAACATTGTGTAACAACATATGAACCGGAAAAAAACCGACACAAGCGTCGTAAGGATAAAGTTTGCCCTGTACCATTGTTTAGGACCAGTCTTGCACATCGCTTTTTTGGTTACCAAGGTCCAACTTTATATAATAAATTAAATCGCGCGCTAAGTTTATATCCCTTACCAAAAACAAAATGTAAGTTTTTGACTATGAACTGGTTACAGAAACTAAATTACAATTGCACAGAAAACCTACTCCATTCAAATTGACTCAAACACTTTATTGCACAGACACGCACACACGCACGCACTCTCACACGCACGCACGCACACACGCACGCGCGCACACACACACACACACAACACACACAAACAATACACTTCATGCGACACGTTTTACTCTACACATCAAACACTTTCACAGATATCCCACACTTACTCTTTTCATAAGTACTTATAAACTCGTTTGTTATAATACACCGGTCAACAATGTATCTGTATGTCCGTGGGGTGAGGACCTGGTGATTTGTAACACAGGCATTCTATGCCCATCACAGACACCAGCTCTTCACATATGAAAACTAGTCTAGACTGTGTAAATGTAACTAGCTATAAGTATACCATTGTGAAGAGAAATAAAGTATTATTATTATTCAAGAATAAACTTTTAATTTCGGTATACATAATAAATATGATTTCTTATTCCTATTGGATAGATGACAACCTCTTCCCTTGCATAACAAATATAGAAATCTTTGCTTTGATCAGTTTAGACCTTAAAGATACCAAGAAATATTATCGAAAAAAGTTCTGTAACAGGAGACCGCTGTGGCGGGATGGTATTTCAGGTATGGCACATATTGTGCTCTTCAATATCTAAGTTTTCAACCCAAACCATTCATTACATGGTGGTCTTTCGTTTGATGATGTTCGATTGTCTTTATAGGCACTTTTTGTAGTCCGACTTACATAATCCGTATTTAAAGGAAATATACGACTTTAAGTAAAGATTTCTTAATTTTATTTGAGGGACTTAAAAAGGCAGAAAACTGAAGTAAACCGTTTTGGTTTGAGAGAAGACGCACCATGGCGACGCGACAACGCAGCCCGCCACATATTTTATATAAGAAAGGAAAAGTCGGGATTACTCTAAAGAGTTCATCGAAACGGTTCTTATAGTAGAGGCGGTAAAATACGGCCAGAGAATCTACACCACATCAATTTACAAAAATCACAATCTACAAAAATTTACGTGTACACACGCGCGCGCTTAATTGCGTGCGTGCTTATCAGCCTGAGCACCTGGATTTTAATACAAAGTGATTTTAGAGTGTCATTTCATAGTCCTTTGTAACTTTACAACTACATACGTAGGTATTACTGTTAACATTGATTATTTCTATTCAAATTGTATGCATCACACCTTTATAATTACAGTCAAGTTTAAGGTTGCCAACTACAATATCTAGTTAACAGACACGTACTGTGTAAAATCCATACTTCAATACTAATTTTATAAATGCCAAAAATATATTTGTATGTCTGTCTATTACCTCTTTACGCAGAAACCGCTGAACCGATTTAAATAAAATTTGGTATAGAGTCAGAGTACTGGGAAAGGACATAGGGTAGTTTTTATTGTAGAAACTTGTGAAAAATCCAAACTTACTAAATGCCTCTGAGCTAGACTTCGCTGCCTACGTAACATGTCAGCATACTGCATCAAAAGCTCTAGTTGCTGTGGTGTTAACGACAGGAGCGCCGCTTCGTTCTGTGATATCATATTCTCAAAACCTTTTACTGTGTTTGTTGGCGTCGCTTTCTTTTCTAAAATCAATACAAATAGTTTATTATTCATGCTGCATTACAAACCTTGAAAGGTCGATTAATATTTTGTTAGAGTAGACTTTTGCTATTGGTTTAAAACAAATGATAAGTTGCCTGTTTATCGTTATATTCTAGTTAGTCTAGAGTTAGTCTAGCCTGATTTCAAATTTGGAATTTAACTTAAAAGATTTGATTTAACTTTAAAGAATTTGAATTCAAACACTACTTTATGAGAGAATATGCCTTCACATGGCAAATTAGCTGAATATTCTGAAAAAAAACTGTTTTCTTATATTAGTAAAACATGTTTTTAAAACCTCAGCAAATATACTACTAATGTTATTTATTATTTAACTGTTATAAACCCTAAACATTTGTTAAAATCTTTCTTTTTTTTATTACACACGATAGAAATCTATCTGCAGTTTTAAACCATACCAATGATGGATTTTTTATTTTGAATAAAAGACCCTGTTGATTTTATTTTTACTTTTAATAGTTCTATAGTATTTTGGACATTATTGAATTTGTTGTTCACGTCTTGGTATCATAGGTTCAGCTATGTGTAAAATATAAATTATGCGTTGTATTGCAGCATTTCGGGCGTCTTTGTTTTTATATTTTTGTAGCCTTACATTCCACAACATTTTCTCCTCTTCATTAAGCTCCACAAACCTCATAGTGTCACGTTCACTCCACTTTTTTTGTTGACGCTCTTTTGTTTACATGAAATCATCCGAGTCAACTCGAAAAAATTTAACCGCGTCCGAATTCACTCTGATCGGTATCTGACGCCCGAGTGCACTCGGATGGCGTGTTTACAGTACGCGCCATATATAGTCCAGGAGCCAGTGACAGATTTCCATGACCAAGTCGCACGCATGGAGAAAAAAAAAGTTTTTTCAGTCATTTCCTCTCAAAAATATATTTAAAATATATTTTCAATGATTTCCTCTCAACTAAAAATTTACCTGGTGATCGTTTATATGCTACTATGAATGAAAATTAATGTCAGCTTGCTGTATATCAGTGGAAAGTTTGTCAGCTGGTACCTTGAAAGGTGTAACGCAACAGCATCTATGACCTACTGAAACTTATCAGCTGACGGCTTTTCCCTTGGCTTACAGCTAGCTGATGAAAATATATTTTTTTTCTCATGTTCAAGGAGCCAGATGACGTATAATCCACCGTGTTATGGTCAGCTGACTATGTTTTTCTTTCAAAATACTACATAAACTATACTCTGATAAATTTTCAAATGAGAGGAAATTACTGAAAAAACTTTTTTTTTCTCCATGCGTGGGAGGCTGCCACTGCCCACCCCACCCACGGAGTCGCAGCTGACGGTCGCGAGTATTCATAGTATAAGTCCCTTATGCATTTTACGAAGTTTCGCTCGAGAAGAAATAATTGACCGAAAATGTACCTGGCTCCTGGACTAATAACTCTGCGTCAACGAAGTTCGCGCCAGAAGCGCAGCAAAATGAAATTTTAGGTATTAGAGGGGTAATTTCTGCGCATCGGAAAGAGACGGGGTGCATTTTACCGCGGACGCTATGCACCGCTGCAAGGTCAATAGGGTCGCACCTCGCTCTAAAACATTAAGTGACTTATCAGCTTTGCTCAAACATACTTTTGTGAACATAATTGTTAAAAAAAACTGTTAGTAATGTTATTTGCTTTGTTTGTAATTGTTTTGTTTATGTTTGTAAGTTGATTTCCTACTTTTAAAACTCCGATTTACTGAGAACTGCTTCAGATTATTATAGATATTATTTTAGTAATTTGCCACTTCAATAGATTAAGTTTTGAACATAATTCTAGAACTGTCTATTCTTTGATAACGTATTCCCTAGTAGTCCGGAGTTGTTACCAAAAGCGTGATATGTATTTTCTTTTTTTGCCACTATAGTATTTAAAATATTAACGTAATCGGTCGGAAATAGATACACATGTACATTATATCAAGTGTATTTTGTCATTTGACAAACATTTAAGCTACATATTCTACACCTGATTTCTAGACGATTTGCAAAATATGAACAAAATACATTCAGTAGTTTGGCCACAGGACTGATTTTTGTGTATCGTAATTTACAACACCATATGTTTACGCACAGCTAAAATACTAAGTGTCAATGACCTTTCCGCTGTCGCTATACAAACATTACCGCACAAGTTACGACATAATAATTAATAAAAATTTAAAAAGAAGAATTTCTTAAAAATAAATTCAAATATATTGCAACAGCATACGGAAGATAGTACTGTGTTTGACAACAAGGTTCATAAACTTGTGTTGGTCAGTATCGTCGAAAATAAAATAGAAACATGTAATTGGTTACTGTGTCATCGGGATCATCGCTCTCAACCTATTGCATTATGCATCATAATTGCGCGTTTTTTTGTACATATTGATTATAAACAAAATATGCTAATAAATAAGTATTTTAATATTATTAGGCTGCGTAAATTATATTGTTTATAATAAATGTTTTATTTACAGTACGTAATGATTACTACGGGAATACTCATTTTAATTATGTTTTTCGAGCTTTGACAATTGGCAGTATTAATTTAATTATTTAATAGTTGATGACTTCCGGTTTCTAGAAAGTAGAGTAGCGTCAGTCGGACAGTTAGTGCAAGACTTCGTGTTGTATTGCAACGAGTCCCGCTGATTTTATTTTGAAAGTAACCATAATAATAATATATCCCTTTATTGTACACCAGATATAAATATACAAGAATTGTCTTAAACTAGGTTAGTACAAGTGACGGCCTTATCACTCAGAGGTAATCTCTTACAGGCAACCTTGGTATGGAGAGAAAACATGAAGGGGAGAGGTATTGGGTAGTGGCTGGAGTATTAGGAAACAGAAAAAAAAGATGAAGTCAAGTGCTGAACACGGCTGGTGGTGTTATTAGATACATATATTTAAATAAATACGTGTGATTTATTAGTTCTAAATACATATATTTTAAGAAATAATGTGACCTTGTCGACTTTGTAGAAGTTAATTGACATTGACGTCTCCCAGGTAGAATTCTTTCACTTGGTTCTTGAAGGAGGCAAGTGTTTGTGCGCGTCTGATTGCGACCATTAGGGCGTTCTACAACCGCTTGAACAGAGAAGGAGGCGTCGAGGAATTTAGTGGAATGTCCCGGCTTTTTAGGTTCTATGACGATCTTAACTGTTTGGGGTGTGTCATTCGAGAACGTAAACCGTGATTTGAGGTAACGTGGAGTAAAAAAGGATTAAATAGAATACTATAGAGAAGAGAAAGAACTTGAGCTTTTTGCGATATTCAGAAACTGCAAATATGAATCTTATGCAGAGATTTTGGAGTCTCTCAAGCTTATTCAATTTGTCTTCAGTAAGATCTAGATAGCATCAGCATAATCAAGGATAGGGAGAAGAAGGGATTGTGCAAGCAATCTTGGTAGGTAGAAAGTTGCGAAGTCGGCGCAAAGAGCCTGCAGCGGCAAACACTTTGCGACCCAGCTCTTGTAACTGAGGTCCCCTAGATAAGGTAGTATCAATATAAATACCCAACTTCCTGACCCTATCACTGTACAGAATAAGTCTGCCGTTGCAAGTGATTTGAGGCAGTTTTATCCAGTAAATTTTGGAGATCATTCTCGAACTTCCAACGACAATGACCACTGGTGGTAGGAAGAAGATAGATCATCAGTGATAGTGTTGATAAAAACAGAAAAAAGTAGGAGAGATAGCATGCCGCTCTGCGATACACCGGCTGTAGTACTACACCAAGATGAAACACTACTCTAAATACTAATGCACTGCCGGCGACCAAGCAGGAAATTGTGAAACCAGTCAATCGCAGTTGTTGCATATGTTAAGAGTGCATAATATACACAGTAGAACGTCAAAGTCGACAGTGTTGAATGCGTTACTTAAGTCCACTAGTGTTAGGACTGTAAGCTCGCCGTTCTCCATAGCAGATCTGATATCCTCCCTAATATGGACTAGGGAAGCAGTGGTACTATGACCAGGTCGAAAACCGGACCGTCGCCGCGTCGCTAGGCTCGTTTTGATGTTTCTACCATTTTCGCATCGCTGCCGTCGCGTCATCTACAGGTTTTATTGTATTTATTTTGTTCTAAATTCGTATTTCTGTATTTTGTACAATCTTTTTTTATTATTTTTACCGACTTAAAATGAACTGTGTTATCTGTGATTCAAATCTTTGTCATAACTCTGGTACCACGGTGTATACTAGTTACAATTCAGAATTAAATAAATTGAATTTTAATATTACTTGTTTGTAGCCTAATAATTCATACAAAAATATAAAATGTTTCTAGGCTCAGTATGTTTGTTTGCGAGTGTACCTGCGCAACATTCGGTTTGCAGCCAACTCATTGACGCAGAGTTGTGGCAGGTGCGATTCACGATACAAGTTGCATCCGAGTAATCATCCGAGCGCACTCGGTCCGAGCCCAAGCGAGTCAGTTGTTTTTACCTAATCATATTATTATATAAGCTTCCAGAATTATTGAAAAATATGGATATTTTTTGAAATCGTTTAAAACATTTGATGCCTGTCATACACCTTTCTAGGCATTGTAAATATAAAATAAATTATTTTAATTGTAAATATAAATTATAAGTTATTTTTTAATATATGTGTGTGGTGTCGAATTATAGGTAAGTTTAAATTATACACAAACAAGGGAAAAGGTACATTTGAATACCAACAACTAAGCTTAAAACTTAGGTAAGCTTGAAACTTAGTCGAACAATTTGGAACTTTATACGGTCATAGTTTCAGTTTCATTGACAATTGCATCATCATCATTACATCACACATCAACAGCCTTTAATAGTCCACTGCTGGACATATGCCTCTCATTAGAAAGGAGGTTTTGGCCTACTATACCACGCTGGCCAGACGGGTTGGTATAGGGTTTGTGTCAAGTTATCCTTTTCTCTGCAGTGATGTTGTCCTGCGTAGTGGGCTCCCTTAGTCGGCTCTTACGACACCCACGGGATGAATAGGGGTGGTAACACTCTGTATTCTTAATCCGTCACCACACGGACAATTGCATAATCAAGAAATATGACTCATGACTATGACTATATGAAATATGACTATATCCACGGTAGGTTATGTTGTTTGCGAAATATTTTTTGCATAAAGCAGTAAAGTAAAGCAAGTATAGTAGTACTGCAGTCTATGTCATTGAAAAATAACACTATAAGGCCAGAAATGCATCACCAAAACAAAAAAAAAACAGAAAAAATATTTACAATAATATATTAATAGTATTTTGGCGGCATTTCCTATTTTTAAATAAATATTTTGAAACTGACGTTTGTACCTACCTTTTGTTTAAAGATTGACACTTTTTCGTTTTATTAATTTCACGGCAAAATGTATGAACTTGAAAGAAATACAAATATTTTATTTAGCAACTGTAAATTAAAATTATTCCGTGTTTTTGTATTGAAATAAAATAACAATATATTTCCGTTTTTTGTTTTTTTTAATTGTTAGACTTTTTAATTGTGACTTGACATTGTCCAGATAGAAAATAAGGTTATATGACATAGAGGTTAATGTCATCATGTGATTTGTACATCAAGCCAGACGTGGAAATGATGTCGAAAGACCGGTTGCGTCCGTCAAAGGCCTGGTTGGCCTGGCTTTGTGTTCTGTCTGTCAGACAGAACACAAAGCCCAGCCCACTAGTAGCCGCTAGAGAGTTCCACTCTCTACCTTCTGGCTCTATGATCAGATCTGTTCCAAGATGCCAGATTATTATAGTTCATGATTGGGTGGCATATTTCCTTGGAGTCGCTCGTCCAAGGAAATATGCCACTTAGGAGGCCCATACCATCAGATGACCCGTACCCTCTCGAGTCTCTTTGCTATCTTATCTTATACACTCTTATCTTACCAATATTAAAAAGTACACCTCTGTTAATTTGATTTACATGGTTTCCACTTTTATCCGTTCCGTTCTCTTTAGCCTTGTCATGGACAGTCACTTGAGCTTCAAGGACGGCAGGGTCAAGTTTCACAGCTTCCAAAGCATCTATAACATATACAAAAAAATAAATAATTTCTTAAATAAAGAGCTGTTCAATTACAGAGACTTGCTTTTCTTCAATATCGGTTTCAAGTAATCGTTCATAACGACACTACAAAGTTATGTCAGTGCAAGGTGAGCGGGTCTATTCAACAAAAACAACATCATACCACTGTGTAGGTACACTAATTTATTGCTCATAAATATGTCCAACTGGTTAGATGCACAATGTAATTCATGGACATATATGCATTTGTAAACCACATTATCCTACATGAAGAGGGTATTTTTTTTCTAGTGTAATTGTATTTTTTTTTAATTAGAAAAAAAACGTGCTTTTCTCTTGATAAAACTCCCAAAGTGATTGCAATAAAACTGGCCTTGTTGTTACATTTTGCAACTCATTTTGCAAGGCCCCCTTTGAAAAATCGGTTAGTCATAAACACAGATTCAAAGCACAACTCTTAAGGAAGAGAATGAGCCTAAATACAACATTGTACAACTTTCCAAAGCTGTAATAATTATGTTGCAAAAATGTTCCTGTTTAAAAAATAAATGTTTTTTTGCAAAAACTATGCAACGGACTGAGGTAAAAAAATAAAACATATACTACACATCAGAGCCTATGATTTACCTAAGTTTGGTAAGCCTACATTTATAATTACTTATTTTAAAAAGTATTCAAAAAACAACAGTTTTTTGCAGTTTTTTGCATGTTGTAAAAAAAAACAAAATAACCAGATATTTTTAATATCTATAACTTTCTCAAAATACATTTCTTCTTAAGAAGTCGAGGTAAATTATAATGGCGAAAAACAGCTATAACAGCAAAATAAGAAATAATGTTGACATTATATTTCTCAGGTCTCAGCTGTCATTTTAGTAACATTATTAAGATGTACCGAGAGGAAACAAAATACGTCAAAATATCTTGGTTGGCATTTTTTTTAAACACCTGTCTAGTCGACTCCTATTCCTGGTCTATACCGCTTAGCTTTTTTGTTTCTTTTCAAAAGTCTGTAAAATTCTTAATACTGTGATGTTGAGCCAACACCTCCATTTTCAGTTTTTCCTCATTGTTTTGTTCATACTTGAGCGCAGACATATTATTGTAGTAATAACCCGAGCTTGGCCCACGAACATTGAACCCCCGTCAAAAAGACAGAATAAAGAAACGGTACCTACCTAGTTCTCTTTTTTATGAAATTTAATAAATTAAATACCTGTTTTACAGCTTAGATTGGCAAACATCCCACTATTGAACTTCATGGAATTCTAAAAAATAAGGTAACAAAAGATAGGTTTCAGATTAAAGGCATTATTAACTAGAACAATAATTAAATTTCAACAAAAACTGTTCAATTCCGGTAAACTCCGGCAGACAAAGAAATGTTGAGTTCTAAGGTAGATGTTTAAAAGAAATGACAGAGGTCTTACAAAAACGTTAAATGGTAAGAAAGCAGTTATATATTCGATGAAAGATATAAACGGGGTAATTAAAATGATACTAGAAAATTATAATTAAACATTTACTTACACATAAAACAGTATTTGGTTCTTCCTTAATTCCAACTAATTGAGACAAGGTAGAGGAAAATAATGGTTTCAAATCCATGACCTACTTCGTTAGTGAAATATTCAGGTAGAAAAAAAAACGAGTAATCTAAAAACAATATTATAAAACTAGTTAACAAAAATGTTCTCTCGATATTATACAAACAATGTATACCTACCTCCTTATTTAAATTTTTGTTACTCTAAATGATTTCACACTGAGATTAAATACCTGTAGATGCATATTATGCAAATGGTCTTGAAACAACAGATAACCCATTAATATGATAACTCATATGGTACTTCATGGAATCAAATCAACACACACTGTACTAATATCATCATCACATCAACAGCCCCTAACAGTCCAGCCACAGTACAGTGCTGGACTAAGGCCTCTCCTTAGAAAGTAGCTGTTTCATCCCAAACTAGACAGAGCCAGTCTATAGTAACCAGACTGCTGAAAAACATACTTATATATTTCTAAATACATACTAAATACATATTAGAGATAAATTATTCCCAGACACAAAACAAAGGACCGTGCTCGTCACAAAATTATTGGTCCTGGGTGGGCATCTGATATTTAACTTATTTTATATTAGGTTTTATCTAAGAATTAGTTTGAAAATTTTAGAATATAAAAATGTTGATTTTTATTTTTTATTTTGGGTAGTCAAAGTACTGGCCCAAATTATCTATACAATTTTGCAATTTTGATAGCAGTTTGTTTATCCCCTTACTGTAGGAGATGGCTGGATGGGAGGCGATGACGTCAGCGAAATCGTTCTGTACTGCCTCTCGGGTGTTGATTTTTTCCCCACTTAAAAAGTTGACTAAATTTTGAAAAAACCGGTCCTTGCCCCTACAGATTTCTATCTGTTGAGGCAAGTTCTAGTGAGTACGTTGGGTGACGAAGAGCTTCCAGCTATAACTCTTGTAGCTTTGTTGAATTGCGAGCTTCTCCATCATGGTTCGCAATTCTTCGCAATAGACATCTGCCATCACTGTTTTGCCATTGATGTACATGTCTGGCACTGGTCCATCAAACAGTCCGCATCATCTGCTTATGGGTATTTTTTTTAGTGCACTGATTAGGTGATGTACCCGGGTCCCCCACTGAGACGAACGCTTACGGTTGTCGTACAGGATATGACATGTACGGGACATGTCGTTAAGGTATTTTCAGGTAGGAACTTTTATTCGAAAACTGTACGAATTTGCAGTTTATCCATATGGATCCGACTTCCCAAAAACAAAACACTATCTAAAACAAATGATATTGCTATCGTTGTTGTTGTATATTGAAACAATAATTAAATCTGAAAATGCTGGTTTAAAAATCTCCAACTTCTCCAACTCTCAACTCCTATTACTATTTAAAATTTAAATAATATACTACGTAATATACCCGATATCAATTTTTTTAAAGGTTTACTAGCAATTCTAGCTAGTATTCCCGTTAACCCCACCACCACCAGCTAAGCTCAATTGCTTGTGTTATGAGTGAGATCACATCGTTACTGTACTGTGGTCGGGATTTGAAACCACGACCTCTTGATCGCAAGTCCTATGCCTTATCCACTAGACTACCGCCGCTTTAACTATCTTTTCCGAGCGGCGATAAAAGCATCCTCTTTTCCTAACAACTAGTTTAGAGAACTAGCGCCTACTAGGATCGCCTGTTGGAAAAGTTTCTGTCTTGTATAGATCTGAAGACGTTTGCGTAATAGCACCGCGAAGGCTTGCGGTTGGGGCAGATGCGTGGCAGGACGGCGATGCAGCATGATCAAGTCATTATGCCAAGTTTACATGCGTGCCGAGGCTTGGTAAACGTCCATAAGCTCCAAGTCTTTACAAACGCTTGGATGCCATTTACACCCTTGCGAGTGTGCTATTGTGTTCCGGACAGGCAAACATAGCAGACGTGGACATATTTTAAACATATTCTATAGCCCTACTGCTCAACTAAACTGCTCAATCAGTGGAGCATTGAGACTTAATGTTGATTCCAGACTGCTCAACTAAAATATTTGTAATATCAAATTGAGCAGTAGGGATCAAGCTCGCGCCAACGTGCAAATACGTCGCAAATGCTTGCCGCGAGCTTCCTTTGATCTGTATTAAAAAACCGACACTATAGTACCGATCGACGACGAGCATACGCGAGCCAAGCCAAACACCCTGTTTACATGCTTGTGTTTGAGGACACATGGCTATAAAAGCGTGTTGTTTAGTTTTTTTAAACTATTTTTTTTGTTAGTACTCTCCTGTCCCGCACGAGACGCATCAGGCAGCAAAACACGTGCCTAAGAAAAGGGGGCCTGAGAAGGTAACGTAATGTATTCATCTCGGACCACAGTAACTAATTATTACAGCTTGATTCCTACTGACCGTTTTATCTTTATCCGGCATGAAATGATGATTTTTGTTATTCCTCGGCATTCTACTCCTCTTATGAGTCTTACTTTATTAAGAACACTCAAATATGAAATTATTGCTACTTCTACAGGTTATTTGACTATGATCTTCAAAGTTAAAATCGTGTCTCTTAACTTATTTATTGAAACAGCTGAAGATAGTTCTTTTAAAGTTATAAATCAGAAACTTGACATTAATTATTTATTCTTATATGGTTTGGGCTTTTGCAATATATTAATACGTCTATTGGCGTCCTTGTCGAATTTCCGGTCTGACAGGTTGTTAAGTAGCTTGCTTGAATATCTAATGGAAATTTAAAGAACCCTTGTCCTAATATATTGATATAATTTTAGTTAGCGGCTGTGCGCGTGCACAAAAGCTTGTACCTTAATGTATGTGTATGTGTAAATTTAATGAAATTAATATATCTAGATCCATCTAGTATCAAGTTGGACACAACGCTACGCACTGAGATTATGGTTCTTAATTCCGATACTTGCTTGCAGTGCTATCTAGTGTCGAATATCCGAAGATTTTAGACATTTTTAGATGCCTTATTGTACGTGGTTCTGTCTGCAACATTCCATCGGATATTCGGGATTAGTCTACTTATTTCGATAGCACTATATTAGCACTATATTGTTTTACGACACAGCGAACTAACATCGAAGCGATATTCTAGTGTGACTAACGAGTTATATAGTGATTTCGTGTTTGTTATAGTGAGTGTTTGTAAATACAGTGCAATAAAAGTAATTAACCGACAACTTTTATTTATTATATACCCGCTCGTAACAGTATGTATGCAATGTGAAGGGTATTTATAAGAGCAATAATAATTACTACTCCTTTTAAAAAAATCAAGTTCACGTTTTATCTAGATACATTAAATGAAGTTATAACCTGTTAACTAAAAAAAAATGTTTTATTTTCCCATATTCTCTGCGAAATTGACAACTTTTTGCACAAAACAGAATGAACAACACCTCCCACACGCTACGATACGAAACGCTTGATCGTGGATCTCTAGCTTAGATAATTTTTAAAAGGCTTATAAGGGGCAAACGTCAAATGTTGTATATTTATTTCGCTATTTCTTTAGAATAAAACTATGCCGTTCCAAGTAAATGTTTATTTATACTACAACTATATTTGTCAAAAGCGATCTGTAATCGATTAAATAAAATATAATTTAACGGTTTTTCCTCTAAGAATAAAATCATTAGGATTCACGCTTACGCTGTCCTAACTATCCTGCATTGCTATTCTCTAAGGCCCGGGGTTCTCTGAACGTTGGTCGTGTGCGACCGACGACCGACGCGAGTCCGCCGCCAGCGACGTACGAATACTATGTACGGAAATGCTCAGCGCTGGGTTCTCAGAAACGTTGCCGGCGTCAGACAGCGCGACAGACATGCGCAAGTTGCACGCCGCACGCGTCGGTCGGGGTCGCTTTTGTCGTTGACTGTACATAATTACCACTCACTTATGTGCATAAATCAATGACGTAAACACTATTTGAGCGGATTTTTTTATTAATAGACAATACATAGCCGTTTAGTTACAACTTGCTCCCCTCCATCAGCGTTGCCACAGCTTTAAAATTCCCTGTTAAAATAAAATTGAGGTATAGAATGTTTTCTGTTTTTTTTTCATTAATATTGATCAATGAATAAAAAAACAGGAAACATGCTAATCCTCAATTCTATTATACATCTATTTTTATGAAATACGTACGATTTAGCTGATAAATGTGTGTTTACATCTGAGTCAAGGGAAATAAAATCTGTTAGGGAACAGTTCGAAGTGTCGGGCAATAATCAAATAACAATGAATAACCAAAATATGTTTTTGTTTCATTTCAATTATTATGATTAATACTTAGGTTTATAATACATTCCACGTTACTTTTGTACTATACAAAAGCCGAGCCAGTAGTTTGTTTTATATTACAAATATTTTACAATGCACAAAAGTTGCAATTGACACTGAAGAAGATTATGTTATGATAGGACCTATCATAACATAATCTTCTACTAGTTCTTCTATTAGTTAGTTCTATTAGTTCTGCTTCTATTAGTTTATTTAAATTAATACCTAGTTGGTTTAGTTAAATTAAAATTGTGTAAATAGTTAATAGTTATTGTTATAGTACAGACAGACAGAGACAGATACAAATGATTATACAAGAAATCCAAACTCAATTAAGCATTTTTATGTGTCTAAAATTGTTTTCGACCAAGCCCCATTCAATAGATCGATAATGCAACTTAGGCTTTTTGATTCTCAGCTTT